TTTCTATTTTCAGTTGTTTGGCTAATTTCTTTGTATTTATAGTAGAAACGGGGTCTCGCTCTTGCTCAGGCTGACCTCGAACTGCTGAGCTCAAGCAATCCTCCCGCCTCAGCCTCCTAGAGTCCTAGGATTACAGGCGTGAGCCACCGCGCCTGGCCTAATTTCTAAAGGCTTCTATGTCTAAATACATTGCCTCCATATCCTAACTACTCTCAAACCCCTCATAACCTGTCAGTGACCTGGTTGCCAAAACCAACACCTCCTCTTCTCAGCACCTCTGTGACATTTAATCCCGTCCACCACCCCTTCTTCTAGAAGATGTCCTTTCCCTTGGCTTCCAGGCCCCTGTCTCCTCTTGGATCCCTTCCCACCTTTCTGAAATTCATTTATCATTTTCTTCCTCTTCCTGCTCCCCAAATCCAGAATTCCTCAAGAATCAGCCCTTGAATTTCTTGTCTCCCCCACTGTAGCCCCTCAGCAGCCTCCTAGCGTCTCTCGAGTCTTTATGTAAGTGAAGCTCATTCCCAGATGCCCAGACCCTACTTTCCTCATAAGCTGCAAACCCACCGCTCTACCTGCTGCTAGACATCTCAGTACAGATGTCCTGACATTCATGATGACCCAAACTGAACTTTAAAAATCTCTTCTTCCCTCTTCTGTTCCTGATCTGTTTTCTGGGAAGATCATTCCTCCAGTGACCTCCACAAAGCCTGGGGGCCCTCTGCCCTGCCCCAGCTCACCAGGGGGAGGAGTCTGGTGGATTCTGTGCCAGCCCCTGCCAAGTTGCCCTGCTTTCCTCTCCCACCAAGCACCTGAGCCCACACCCCATCACTCACGTTTCTGCCGGCTGACTAACCAACCTCCCCTCCTCCCACCCCTTCCTCCGACAGCCAGGTGGATGTTCCCACAGCCCTCTCCCTCAGCCCCCCAGCAAGGCCCTTCCCACCTCAGCCCAGCCTCCACTCCCCCATAGATCGCCTGGCCAACTTGCATCGCCTGCCCTGTGGGAGACAGAATAATGGCCCCTTTCCTGGTTCTCGCCAGAGCCCCAGGCTGCTGACTCTGTGAGCCCCCTCACCCTGTTCCCCTTACATGAATTTCCTTCCTGCCATCTTTCTACTTCTGAAGCCTACTTTCTTCAAGGCCCAGCTCATGTGTTCCCTTGTCTGTAAAATATTTCCTGCTCACTCAGCTCAAGATGACCTTTTTACTTCCTTCCATCCAACCTCACTTTTCCTGCACCTCCCTTGTGACACTTATGTGTGTATCATTCGAACAGGTGCAGCTACATATGAGATAGAAGATGCCTTATCTCCCCTACTGGATTGTAAGCATGACAAGGACAAAATGCTGCCTGAATTCCCCTAGAACCATACCTAAAAAATAGTAGGGACACAATAAATATGGGATAAGTGCCTGGATGATGAAATGCAGCATGGTGCTTGAATGAGAAAGGGCTTTGCATATTTGAGCAATATTTACACATAAGGCTTATGCTAGAAAAAAAGAAAAAAAAAAGAAAAAAAGAAAAAAAAACAACAAAAAAAATAAAAAATAAAAAAAAGGCTTATGCCATGAGGAGGCCTGAACTTGGGTTTGGAACATGCCCAGGAACTACAGCAGCACCCCACAGCAGCAGACCCCATCCCTTCCCACTCCCCCGGGGCTGCCACCCTTGTTCCAGCCAGGATGCACTGCACCTAGCCCTGGTCCCACAGGAAACAGCTGTGCTCCTTCCGTGTCCATGGGGATTAGCCTGCCTCCCAGCCCACCACAGCCAGTGAGCATCTAATGGCCAGCTAGATGCAACTGGCCTCACTGGGACCACCCTTGGGGGATGAGGGGACAAAAGCACTGGCCACGGAGTACAGAGAACTGAATTCCAGCTTGGCCTACCATGAACAAGCCATCTGACCTTCACTGTAACACCCTGACGTAGGACAAAACCAGCATTTCCCAAACTGCAGTTCCATAGGCCACTGAAAAAGGTGTCACTTTGCATATCCCAGGGAAACTGAAACTAGATGTTGCCTCTAGGCTGACCCAGCTGCACCAAGCCAACAGTCAGGGAACTAGCTGGAGATGCAGCTTCAGGGGGCTGGAGAGGCTTCTGGGGCCTCTCCCTCCCCCAGACCCCTGAGCTCACTATTCTCTCTCAGCAGCCCTCCCATGGTAGATGCAGCAGCTGAGTTGCCCTGTTGAGGAAACTGGAACATTGGCCTCTTTCTGGAAATAACCAGCCTGGAGTAGGTGAGGAGGGGTGTGAAGGCGGTGTCCTGAGTCACCCCGCACCCTCTCTCTCATGGCAGGGCAGGTTGGCCCTGGGAACTCACAGATGGACAACGCCAGCATGCACCTCCCATGTGCCACTGGGATGGCGGGGCTGGGGACAGCAGACTGTCAAGTCTGCAAACCATGGCTGGACTGGATGTGGAGGAGGATGAGGGATGGACAGACACAGAACTGGCAGGTCCCCCATCTCTGTATCAAGCACCAGGAAGGACAGCAAGAAGCAAAGATGTCCCGAATTCAGTCTTTAGCGATAAACATCAATGGCTTAAACCCAAAGAATGCTCTCTCAGCACCATCCACTCTCAGGGAAGACCGAAAGCATATCTCTTCACCCTGCAACCCTAGGGAAGCTTCCCCTGGGCAGCCTCACCCACCACCCCATTCCACCCCCTTTGCACACACCTGGTAGGCAGAGAGAGGTGTAGGAGTGCAAGCAGGGGCTGTCAGAGACAGGCTGAGGCAGGGAGAGGAACCCTGGCTGGGTGAGAGCAGCCCTAGCCCAGGTGTGCCTCTGCTTCTGACCTACCGGCTGACCTCAGTTAAGTTTCTTCATTTCTCTGGGTTTCCTCCCCTCATCTGGACAAGGAGACTGACCAAACCATCTCCAGGGTTCTGTCTCCCATCCTTGGGCAGGCCTGTCCCCAAGCCAGGTGCCCAAGACAAAAAGCAGGACCTGGGCAGTTATACAAGTCCAAGGGTGACAGATCAGGGGGTGCAGGGCGTGGCTGCTCACTGCAGTCCTGGTATTGGCACTGGTGACTGATGGCCAGTGACGGAGGGCACTCGATCTCCTAACAGGGGGATAGGAGGAGGGGGCTGTGGAGCCCACTGCCCAGTCCAACATGAGGAAGAAAGAAGGAAGAGAAATTCTGTAGGGCCCCACCCTAGGCAGTGGGCAGGAAGAAAGTTAGTGACATCTGCTGCCACTCAGCCAAGAGATGAGCACAGTGGGGAGGGAAATAAGGACACAGCAGTGGGGTGGGAAGAAGTCAGGAGCAAAGGTGCTACCTGTGGGTAGGGTGGCATTTACTGGGGTGGCACAATTCTGGGGAGAAATCGACCACTAGGAAGTACTATCATTACGGGTGTGTGAGGAAGCCAGCCCTGTGGGTGGCACCTCCCAGCAGGTGCAGGGGGCAGTGTGCAATCTACAACTGGAGCAGATTAGTGACAAAATCCACAGCCCAAATGGTAGCCAGAGAAAGCAGGGGAGCTTCCACTCTGGCAGTCAGACCCAAGGCAAATGCACATGGCGGAGCCGAGAAAGGAAAGGAAGCAGAGAGAGAGGACCTCCACGCAAAGCACCTGCCTGCCTCTTTTCCCCACAGCAAGAGCCCTAGCAAGGCCCACGGAACATTCCAGATGTCCAGTTCTCTTGTTGGGAGGAAAGATAAAGGATATCCCTAAAAGGCTAAAAATTCCCGAGGCCCTGCCATGTGGAAGCTCAGCGAGGTGGCAGCTGGGCCAGGGCTGGGCTGGAGCAGAGGAGGGGCTGCGAGGGGAGAGGGTGGCAGTGGCCTGGGGCTCAGGATCCAATTACACGGCTGTTTCCATACTTAGCCACCTGACAGCCACTTGGAACACTCACCACTTGAGCCACTGTAGCCCCGCAGAGCCCAAATTAACTCAAGGGCAGACAAGGGCAGGGCCAGCACATGCAAAAGCCGGAGCCCCCCACCTTACGTCTTGAACCCCCAAAGGAATGGCTTTTGTTCCTGCCCCCTGCCTGCCCTCCTTTCTGGGACTGTGCCCTGCAGCCCCTGCTCAAACTCAGAGACCTGAGGCTGGACTCCAGGCCTCCACGGTCTCAGGTGCAAAGACCAAGGGCTGGGCCCAGTGCAGATAGAAAGTCAGGCAAAGACAAAGCGGCAGTCCTAGATCCCTAGAGGATCCCTGGAGCAGCCCCGAAGCATCCTAAAGGGGAGCCCAGCCTCAAGAGCCTTGGGAACTAGAGAGGTGGCAAAATGATCTGGTGTCCCCTCCACAGCCTATAAATAACCCCCATGCAACCCAAGCCACCACTCCCGCTACCCAGAGTGCTGAGGTGTGACAGGGAGCCCAGGCCCAGGGCCTGAGGCCCACCAGGAAGGTCCCCCGAGCAGCAGAGGCCCCATTCCACAGTGGTTCCCATTCCTCTCCTGAACTCTGCCCAATACTGTCGCCAGCCGACCATCAGCTGTTGGATCCTTTCAAAACACCACCTCCACCTCTGCCTCACTGTTCCCAAAATGACCCCAACTTTGCCCCACTGTATCTCCTCTTCCTCAATCATGCAAACCCATTCCAGCTGGAGTCCAGACCTCCGCCCATCTCCCACCAAGCAGGAGGGTCGCCTGACAATCTCCAGTCCCAGGACTGTGTCACCTTGTCCATCTCAGAGGCTTCCCCAGCCTTGACTTTTGGGGCCCTCTCCCCAGTATTAACTGGCCACTCTTCTCTCTGATCCCCAGCTTAGGCCTCAAGCCTGGCTGCCTCCCTCAGGTTGCCACTTCCTCTTTCTGAGGCCTCTCTGGGAGCCCTCACTACCCTTCTCCCCAGCACCTGCTCCTGTTTGCCACAGGGAGAGGAGGGTGAGGACAGTGAGACCAACAGAGAGCAGGGGTTTACTGCAGGCCCCACCCACCCCAGCCTGGTAAACAGAAAACCTGGGCAGGGGTGGAACTCTGGGGGTACAGTCTGGGCCTGGTCGGTGCCAGGGTGGGACATACCTGCCTGTCCTGAGAGCAGGAGCGAAGCCGCCAGGCAGCAGAGCAGGACCCGCACCCTCATGGTGACTGCCAAGAGAGCCCAGCTGCTCTGCACCTCTATTTATAGGGCGCAGGCGGGGCGGGGCCAGGGAGAAGGGTCACACAGTCACTGGGGCAACTGGGCGGGCATGGTGGGGAAGACGCCCAGACCCCAGCAGGCTGTGCTGGGGGCCTCCACTGTCCCAGCTGCCATCCCCAGAAGGCAGGGCCAGGCTGGATTCTCTTCCCCTACCCCCCAGCAGCCCTGAGATCACATGACATGGGGCATATAGGGTGGGGGTAACAGGGATAAAGTGGGCTGAGGTCTAGGAGTTAGGAACCTGAGTCTTGCCAGAACTGGTACTACCTAGACCTCAAGTCTGAGGCAGGTCGGGGACCTTGGCACACCTCTGCTGGAAGGAAATGTTGCAGGCAAATCAAAAGAAATCCTATTTAATAGCCACTGATACACGTTCTAGAGAATAATCAGTTAAGGAAAACCTGTGACATCTGACCTTTGAGGTCAATGTCTGGGAGCACAACCGTCCCAGCCTCTAGAAGAGAGAGTGAGGACCAGAGGAAGACAGGGACGCTGCAAGATGTGTCTGAGGTAGTGGTGGAAGTCAGAGGGTGCAGTAACAGAGATCCATTTCCAATGGCGCAGAGGTTCCAGAACGTTCACTCACCTCTGCAGAGTGCCATTTGATGCAGTTTTCCTAATGGCACGTGATGGCCCTGAGAGACAGCTGTAAGAAGACAAGGGAAAGCAGACGCTGACTAGCACGGGGGCATGGTGTCACTGGCAGGGGGAGAGGTAGAAGCTGGCCAAGGAGGAAGGGACCTAAAAGTAAAGCTGGCATCTGTTCCATGCTAGGTGCTTGAGAAATCTTTAAACAGCTTTGTTGAGGTGTGATCAACACACACCACATGACAGATATGTAAGGGTACAATCTGATAAATACTGATGTATGCATTTAACTGTGTAGCCATCACCACAATCAAGATAAGGACCAGATTCCTCACCCCTAAAATTTTCCTCATGTCCCTTCACTGTCCCTCCCTGCTACTCATTCCCAGGCAAACACTGATCTTCTCTGTCACTGTACAGCAGTTTGCATTTCCTAGACTTTGCTATAAATGGAATCATAGTGTGTTATTATTATTTTTTTTTTTAAGAGACAGGATGTCACTATGCTGCCCAGGCTGGCCTTGAACTCCTGGACTCAAGCAATCCTCCCATCACAGCCTCCCGGTAGCTAGGACTACAGGCAAGCACCCAGCTTATATGTGTTTTTTTCTAAGTGCTTCTTTCACTCAGAATAATCATTTTGAGATTTGTGTTGTAGCATGTATCGATAGCTCATTCCTTTTTATTACTGAACAGTATTCCATCATATGGACAGACCACCATGCAATTCACCTGTTGTTGAACATTTGGGTTGCTTCCAAGTTTGGGCTATTACAAATAAAGCTGCTTGAATATTTGTATATTCATATGGACATATGGTTTCATTTCTCATGGGTAAATGCCCAGGAGTGAAATGGCTGGGTCATATGGTAGGTATCTGGGTTTTTTTCTAGATGATCATATCATTTTACATTCCAAGAGTGCATGAGGGTTCCAGGCTTCCCCAATCCTCACCAGTACTTGGTGAGGTCAGTCTTTTTAACTTTAGTCATTCTAATAAGTGTGTAGTAGTATCTTATCAGTTTCAATTTAAGCCCTTTATCAGGTGTATAATTTGCAAATATTTTCTCCTAGTCTGTGACCTGTCTTTTCATTTCATTAAGTGTGTTACTGACATACAATAGTGTACTGTATCCCATCTTTTCATTCACTGAAGTGCCTTTCAACATGGGGCTCATTTACAATGAGCCCCATTTATCAATTTGTTCTTTTATGAATTATGCTTTTGGTGTCATATCTAAGAACTCTTTGCTTAACCCAAAGTCAGAAAGATTTTTTTTCTATTTTCTTCCAGAAGTGTAATAGTTTTAAGTTTTACAATTAGACCCGTGATCCATTTTAATATTATTTATTTATATGTTGTAAGAAATGGAACGCAGTTTAGATCTTTACATATGTATCTAGTTTTCCCAGCACCCTTTGTTGAAAAGACTATCCTTTTGCCACTGAATTGCCTTTGGACCTTTTTTAAAAAAATGATGATATACATGTAAGTCTATTTCTGGGCTATATTCCACCCCATTGATCTATGTATCTGTTCTTCCACAGGTCTTCTCTTTACACTGTCTCGATTACTGTGACTTCCTAGTAGTAAGTTTTGAAATGAGGTAGCAGGAATCCTCCAACCTTGTTCTTCTTTCTCAAAATTCTACACCGACAAAATTCTAGTTCCTCCAATTCCATATTAATTTATAATTAGTCTGTCAATTTTTTTAAAGCCTTCCATGGAATTTAATTGAAATTTATAAGAATTCTATAAGATCCCAACTGCAGACACTTACATAGTGAGGTTAAGTGTGTCACTTGGCTAGGCTATGGCATCAACTCTGCCAACATCAGATCCAGTCTCATGTTGCTGTGAAGGTATCTTTAACATTTAAAACAGTCGACTGGGCCAGGCGCAGTGGCTTACACCTATAATCACTACGCATATTGTAGAGACCCAAAGAGGAATATTGTTGAGCTGGATTCAAAACAGCTGAGAAAGAGAGAATTTCGTCTACTAAAATTAACAATCAGCTGGATGTTGTGCACATCTGTAGTCCACTACTCGGGAGCCTGATGAGGAGATCACTTGAGCCCAGGGTTTGAGCTGCAGTGAGCTATGATACCCTCGCCTGGCAACGAGAGACCTATTTCCCCCCCCTTTAAAAAAAAAAAAAATATTATATATATCACTATTATATAAATAATACTATTCCATTTATTGGAATTATACTGTTATAGGCACCCAAGTTCACAAGCACGCCGCCCCTGTATTTTGTTCACCTATAAGAGAACAGCAGATTTGTGTCAATTCTCTTTTAACCGATTTCAGAGCCTGTCTGTATCTCCTCATCAAGGCAAGGATATGGAAGAGATATGTTTTCATAAATTAATATCTGTATGTGTACCCTGCAACCTTGCTGATGATCACTTGCCTGTTTTTCTATTTTATTAATTAATCTTAGTCATCACCAAGCTGCTGCGTGCAGGAGACTACTCATTTGGGCCCCCTAATTCAGGAAACTCTGCAGCTGTCACTCTTAGCTCCTTTTCTAATCAGTGGTGTGGTGGGGGGAGAGCCAGGCTAGGGAGCTCATTCCTTTCTACAGCTGCAAGACTTAGGGCTGGTCCTGCTGTGATCCCCAGTCCTATCCCCTCCTCTGTCAGCACACGTTCTTGTCAATCAACAGAATAAACTCACAACTCAGCAGGGCAAGAGAAGAGACGAGACCAAGGAAGAGGATGGCACTAACCCCACCCCTGCCCCAGGATTTGTAGGGAAAGAGAGAGCAAGCAGAAACAAAAAAAAAAACCGAAGAAAACCGAAGAACTCGAGCCGAGAGTGATGAGAAAAGACAAAGCTAGGCTGGGCCGGTGGCTGCACACGCTATACATCCCAGCACTCTGGGAGGCCGAGGTGGGCGGATTGCTCCGAGGTTAGAGGAGTTTGCGAAACAGCCTGAGCAAAGAGGGGCGAGACCACCGTCTCTATATAAATGAAAGAAATTTAATTGGCCAACTAATATATATAGAAAACATTAGTCCTGGCATGGTGGTGGGCGATATGCCTGTTAGTCCAGCTACTCGGGAGGCTGGGCGGGGATTGCTTGAGGCCAGGAGATTTGAGTGTTGCTGTGAGCTAAGGTGAGCTCATGGCACTCATCTAGCCTGGACAAACAAGCGAGACTCTGTCTCAAAAAAAAGAGACAAATGCTACGAGTCCACACAGCACCAAGGAAACGGCAGAGATAAACACCCGGGCCGCGCGCAGTGGAATAAAGAAGAGACAGTAGAATGGGTGGGGGTGGGGGAGACAGGGTGGAGCCAGAGTCAAAAAAATCTGAGGCTAAGGACAACAGGGCCAGCCAGCTCCAAGTTGCTTGAGGATTTGTGTGTGCTTTACATAGCTGGTCGCGAGGCCAAGTGAAGCTCACACTGCTAAGGAGGCCAAGGTCACAGGAAGGGCCCCCTCTTCTGAGAGATGGCCCTTTCAAATTCTACAGGTCTGGGAGCTTGTTTCTGCCTAGGTAACGGGCCAAGATGCGCCCCCAGATGCATGGCACAAGGGGCATGTGTTTGTTATAACCAACCCCACGCCAGGACCGGTATGAAGTGGTCGCCAAGAATTCGCCGTAAAATATAGGCAAGAAGGCAGCGAATTGGCAAGGAGGCAGAAAAAAAATACGGAAGGCGCACACAAAATGGAGCTATTAGTAAGACTTACAGAAAAAAAAATGACACTATGAATATGTTTAAGACTCAACTTGTGTGTTAAGCTTGACCACTTGCCCAATTCACAGTGTCCCTAAAATAAGAACCAAATGCTTAGGAACAACGTCAACATTACCTCTCCGCACTCGGAGATCCATAAGCCCGAATTTCTTCTGGAGAATGCCTCCCAGAACACGCGGCACAGCAGCGCAGCGCGGCCAGGTGCCGAGTGGCTGCACGCCTGTACTCTAGCACTCCGGGAGGCGCAGCAGGCAGATTGGCTCAAGGTCAGGAGTTCGAAACCCCCGCCTGGGCAGCAAGAGCGCGACGACCCCGTCTGCTAACTATAAACGAAAGAAAATTAATTGGCCAACTAAATTATATATGAAAAAATTAGCGCGGGCAGCGTCTGGCGCATGCCTATAGTCCCAGCTACTTGGGAGGCTGAGACAGAAGGAGCTCGCTTGAGCCAGGAGTTTGAGGTTGCAGTGAGCTAGGCTGATGCGCAGACGGGGCACTCACTCTAGGCACGGCAACAACAAGAGAGACTCTTATCTTTAAACAAAAAAAAAAACAACAAAAAAAAACACAAGGAGCGTGGCATGGTGGCTCACGCCTGTAATCCTCACCTTTGGGGACCGAGGCAGGTGGATCACTCGAAGTCAGGAGTTCGAAACCAGCCTAAGCAAGAGTGGACCCCCATCTCTACTAAAAATAGAAAGAAAAGTAATTGGCCAACTAAATATATAGAAAAATTAGGCGGCATGTGGCACATGCCTGTAGTCCCAGCTACTCGGGAGGCTGAGGCAGAAGGATTGCATGAAACCAGGAGTTTGAGGTCACTGTGAGCTAGGCTGACACCACCGCACTCTAGTCCAGGAAACAGAGTGAGACTCTGTCTCAAAAAAAAAGAGCACACAGGATAATGTAACAATCCTCTAGAACATTCTTGGAGCAGACAAATTTTGCATGAAATTTATCCCTAACAGAGACCTTTAAAATACAGCAGAGGAGGTCACCAGGAACCAAGAATGCCTATTCTCCCTCCCAAAGAAACAACCAGCCAGGTGTGGTGGCTCACACCCGTAATCCTAAGCACTTTGGGAAGCCAAGGCAAGAGGATCGTTTAAGGCCAGGAGTTTGAGACCAGCCTGAGCAACATAGCAAGACCCCATCTCTACAAAAAAATACAAAAATTAGCCAGGTGAAGCAGTGTGCAACTGTAGTCCCAGATACTCAGGAGGCTGCGGCAGGAAAATCACTTGAGCCCAGGAGTTTGAAGTTGCCGTAAGCTATGATACCACTGTACTCTAGTCCCAGCTACTCGGGGAGACTGGGGCACGAGGATGACTTGAGCCCAGGAGTTTGAGGTACAGTGAGCTTTGATTGTGCCACCACCAGCCTGGGTGACAGAGTGAGACCCTGTCTCTTAAAAACAAACAAACAAACAAAAAACCCAGCACCAAAGAGGGTCACTGACACACGCTTGGGACAGTTCTCCTGAATTGCCACTTTACCACCTAACAGGCTGGCTGCTGGCAGGAAGAAAAATTGGCACAATGCATTTGGGGGACGGTAACTACTAAATTATAGTCATAACAGCCATAAGTTGGAAACGACCTAAATGTCCATCACTAGATGAATGGATAAACAAACTGGTATATTGACACAATGCAATAGTACCTGGCAGTAAAATGAACAAACTGCTGATATATACGAAAACATAAATGAATCTGACACATTATGCTGAGCAAACAACAAACAAACAAACAAAAAGAGTACATATGTGGTATAATTTATATGAAGTTCTAATACAGGTAAAACTAATCTATGGTGATAGAAATTAAAACCACAGTGAGATTCCACTATACACCAACCATAATGCCTAAAATTACAATAATAATCTGACAATGCTAAGTGCCATTAAGGAGGCAGAGCAACTGGAACTCTGATACACTGCTGGTGTGACACAGTAGAGAAGTACATACAACACACGTGAATGAGAGCACGTGAATAAAACTGGTAAAATCCGAATAAGCCCCGTGGACAGCACCAGTGTCAATTACCTGGTTTCTGTGATGTACTGTAGTTACGCAAGATGCTAACGCTGGAGAAGGCTGGGTGATCTCCCTGTACGTTTCTGTAATTATTTCAAAATTTTAAAAGTGTAAGAGAATATAAGCCACTCGAGGAACAGTGGGGCAGGAAGAAAGCATCAGGAGGCTTCTGGGGGCTTGGTGGGGTGCTGGCTATATGGGTGCGTGTTCCGTTCATGAAATTTCACAGAGGCTTTTAGACACTGGTTGTGTGGGACGTTGCACCGGTCGTATCCCTCCTGCCCTACCTCCGCGTCCCCAAAACCTGATGTTCGACCTCCCGGGCTGGGCGCGGGGCCCAGGGCCGCCCACCTGTCTCCTGCCACAGGACGCGCGGCCAGGGGCCCACGGCGGGACGCCCGCGGGCGGGACGGACGCCGCGGCTCCAGGCCTCAGGGAAGGAGAACGAGCGACTTCGCTCGCGAACGTCTCTTATTCGCCGCACATGCGGAAATGACGGTGTTTCGGGCACTTTGGGTAAAGAGTAAATGTGTTAACTTAATTCGTGTCACCTGTTTCTTGCCTGTTTTTACAGTGGTTTCCGGAACCTTCTCTCTCACGCGTGTCACCTACGCGCGCGGCGGGCGGCGCGTGCGCGCGGACGTGCGTGAGTGGGCGGGCGCCGGGGGCGGGGCCAGACGAGCGTGCTAGCAGGAGCGCGCGCGAGGCGGCCTGAGGTGCCGAAGAGCATGCGCGCCGAGGGCGAGGTGGGGCAGTCCGGGAAGGGGCGGGGCCGCAGCCGCGCCCCTGACTTCCGCCGCCTGCGAGCGAAACCGCCTCCCACCGCGGGGCGCGGGGGGGTGGGGGGCGGGTCCGGGAAGGGGGATTTCCCTGGCACCGCCCCCAAGCCCCGCCCACGGCCAGTGGGACCAGAGCAAGCCCCTCAGCGCCCTCTGTTGATCCTCTTAGGAGCTGCCCGGAGCCCGTCGGGCCTGCAGTCTCGCACCTGGCCGAAAGGGGCCGCTCTGCTGGCCCACATTCTACGTGAATTTACCTGGACACGCTCAGAGAGAGAAAATTATAGTGCTAAGTGAAAGAAGCCAGACTCAAAAGTCTGTATGATTTCATTTATACGACATTTTGGAGAAGGCAAAACTACAGCAGCAGAGAATAGATGCCAGCGGCTGGATTGACCACAAAGGGGCTCGAAGAGCAGCAGAGACAGGGAGCTCACTCCCATCTGGTGGTGCTGGTTCTGGAACTGTATGCATTTGTAGAAACTCACACAACCAAAAACCAAAAAGTGGGAATTTCACTGAGTGTAATTATTTTAGTTTTTTAAATATGTTAAAACCAGAAAGCAGATTGGTAGTTGCCAGGGCCTGGGAGAAGGAGGAATGAAAGTGACTTGAAGAGTAAGGGGTTCATTTTCCAGTGATGGAGATGTTTTAGAACTAGGTAGGCTGCATGACATTATGACTGTACTAATTGTTCACTGTAAAATGGCAAACTTTGTTATGTGAATTTCACCTAAGAAGACACGTCTAAAAATTAAAAAAAAAAAAAAAATGAGCAGGCTCCTTTCTATTTGATAAGCTCATGTCCAGAGGCAGTGGGAAGTGAGATGTGAAGCAGCTCTTCTAGTCGGCCTCAGTCTCTGTGCATTTGCCACCTGAGTGTGAGGTACAGCAAGCAGGTTGAGCCAGCCACATGGTAAAGTGATCGCTGGCCGTAGAGGATTGAGGGACTTAAAGGATCCACCTCACTCCCAGTAAGATCCACTGCCTTTGTGTCATTACCATCTCCAATTTTCAGGAAAGGAAATCGAAGCTTAGAGAAAGCGGTTTGTCCAAGGTGGACCTGACCCCCGGCAGAGCAACTCCAAGACCTGAGCACCACACAATGGGGGGTGTGAGAGCTTCTTTCCTTTCTGTAGATGAGGGGACTGAGACTCAGGGAGATTACACAAGCCAAGGAAGTGGCAACTCTTAGGGATCAACTCAAGTCTCTGACACCTGTGTCCTTTCTCCAGGAGTTAGGACCCTGTGGCTTGGTTGGTCATTCCCCCGTCTCCCATGAAAGAGGAGAGCCACTCCTCCCACCCAACACCATCTCCCATCTTCCCAGAAAACCCAGAGGAATCCGAGGACTCCAATTTCTGATCACCACACCACACGCAAGTTGGGGGACTCATCCAGTGCCCCCCCGTGGGCCCGAGAGCCCCTTTACTCTCAGCCCAGGTGGCCTTGCCTGTGTCCCCAGGACAGCCCACACCCAGAGACACAGAATCTAAAAAACAAAGTACAAACTTTATTTTGTTTCTTTACAAAGGCACAGTGGCCTCTTGGTTTTTTCCCCCCACTTTCTTAACAAAATATAATAGCTTCTCCTTGAACACAAAGACCTCAAAATTGTAAAAAAAAAAAAAAAAAACAGAAACCAAAACAATAAAAAAAAACAACAACAAACAAAACAAAGAGAAAGACAAAGACATTTTGGGATGGTGAAAGATGGGGAAGGGAGGGGTGGGGCAGGGCGGGGGTGGAGAGTGGCGAGTCCTAGTGCTGAGATGGGGAGGAGGAGGGGAGAAGGGCAGCAGCAAACCCCAACCGAGAAGTAATTTGGACCCCGGAACCCCCAGAAAGCCCCAGCGCAGCCTGACCCCCAACCCATGTAAGTGCTTAAAGGAGAAAGAAGAAAACCAAAAAGAGGGAAGGGGAGTAAGACTGACAGTCGCAGGGCTGGCTCTGAGGAGGGAAGAAATTCCTTGGGGTTTTGTTTGATTTTCCCTGTTCCTAAAAACATATTTAAAGGAAAAAATGCTTTTTGGCGGAGAGAGGCCAGGCACCTCAGTGTCAGCTTCCCCAGCCCCGAGGGCCGAGGCCCAGCCCTGGGGTCCCGATTCTCCCACACACTCTGGGCCACCCCAGCCCCGGGACCTTGGGTTGGGTGGCTTCGTTCAAAGGTCGATTTACAGTATTGAAAAAGAGGTCATAAAAGAGACCCAAATGACATCGTAATTTTGTAAAAATTTCTCACTCATTCACCCACGTCTCTTCCTGTTGCTGCCCCGGCCCCCTCCAGCCCCCAGAAGGGAGAGGAGGGCTGGGGGGGTGGTCAGGGAAGCTCCCCATCCCCCAACGGCTCCTCCCGGCTCTGGTCCATGGCGTCACTGTCAGAGGCATCCGAGTCTGAGGCGGTGTCGGAGGTGTGGGCCTCTGGGCAGGTGCGGAGGGGCTTCACAATGACGGCTCGCCGCCGCTCCTCCTCCAGCTCCTGCTTCTCCTGGGTGCCCTCGATGTGCTGGATCGCCTGGACGGGGACAGGTCACTGACGAGGCTCGGCTGGGGACACTCAGCTGGCCAGGAGGCAGCGGGGGCCTCAGCCAGCCACTATCTCCCCAAAACACATACATAGAAATGTCCAGAAATAAGCCTGGCAAAGCAGCAAGAGGCCCGCCAGAGTCCAGGGAAACAAACTTTAGAAAACACCTCTGTTACACTGAAAACCCCTCTGGAAAGACAATAGTTCCAGTGCTGCTTAGAAATTATCTTTCAGGCCGGGCGAGGTGGCTCACACCTGTAATCCTAGCACTCTGGGAGGCCGAGGCGGGTGGATTGCTCAAGGTCAGGAGTTCGAAACCACCCTGAGCGAGACCCCCGTCTCTACTATAAATAGAAAGAAATTAATTGGCCAACTAATATATATAGAAAAAATTAGCAGCATGGTGGTGCATGCCTGTTAGTCCAGCTACTCGGGAGGCTGAGGCAGGAGGATGCTTGAGCCAGGAGTTTGAGGTTGCTGTGAGCTAGGCTGACGCCATGGCACTCACTCTAGCCTGGGCAACAAAGCGAGACTCTGTCTCAAAAAAAAAAAAAGAAAGAAATTATCTTTCACATATTTATTTATGTATTTTAAAGTTTGCCTATTAACATATTCAAGGCCTTTGTTAATTGTATTATGCTGTTTGCTAGGTTTACTAAAGTTCTAGGGAGTTGATAGGTATTTTTTCCTGTTTTGCTTTAGTTATTTACTTATTATTATTTTTTTTTTTGATGTTGTTGGGTCTCCCAAGAAGTCTTGTCTAAGACTGGGTGCAGCTGGAACTTCAGGTCTGACCCACAGACCTGATTCCTATTTTCTCTCTGTGGATAACTATCACCCAGGCCCTGCCACCCCCACCCGCATCCCAGGTCCTGGGAGATAGAGGTGAGAAAAAGTTCTGACAGGAACAGGGAGTGCTACGCCGTATTCTGCACTCTGAGGCCGAGTGGAGGATCCATTCACGGTCAAGAGTTTGAGGAAAGAAAAGAAAGAATAAGAAAGAAAGAAAGGAAGGGAGAGAAGGAAGAAGGAAAAGGAGAAGAAAGGAAGGAAGGAAGGAAGGAAGGAAGGGGAAAGGGAAAGGGAAAAAGGAAAAAAAGGAAGGAAGGAAGGAAAAGGAAAGGAAGAAAGGAAGGAAAGAAAAGAAAAAAAGGAAAGAAGGAAAGGAAGGAAGGAAAAAGAGAAAGTTTGGACAAACCCAAGAGCTGGATGCAGGAACTCGGTACTCAGGGGACTCTGGGAGCAAAAGACTCCCAGCAAACCCTACACCGAGGAAAGGAATGCCGGCCTGGTGGGCCCTGCCCAGCTCTCTGTCCTCAAGTTCTCCACACACGAGGTGATGCTGTGATGCGGAGAGGGAAAGCCACCTGGCTTCCGGACCTTCACCCTTTCCCTCCCAAGCCCCAGCTGGCTCCCCTCCCACCCTCACTCTCTATCCTCCCCTGAAGAGCCTGTTCCCAGAGTGCAACCCCACAGGCTGCCCCATCCCTGAGCCCAGATACCTGCACGATGGTGTCCAGATTTTGCCGGGATGTGGAAACGGAGTTGATAACTGAGGAGGGGCCCATGGTGACGACGTTGATGTGGTGGGAGGGAGGGGGAGGCGGTGCTGGCACAATCACCGTGGGGTGGTGGGTGGGGGCCGGAGGGGGCAGGAGCTGCAAGACAGAAGCCCTCAGCCTTTGTCCAGAGACTTCTCCCTTGTTCATGGGGGCTGGCCAGTATATAAGCCCCCACCTCCTCTTACATTAAGAAACAAAGACAAGGCGGCCTAGGGAGGGGCTTCCAGCCATGCAAGATGCCCTAGCCCCTCTCTCTCCCCAGAGCCCCACGCGCCAGCCCGGGCACCTCCTGCTCACCTGGGTCCGCAGGTGCTGCTGTTCCCGCTCGAGCTTCTCTTGGTGCAGCAGCCGCACCTGTTCCTGCTGCTGCTGCAGCTGCACCTGCTGTGCAATTACCTTGAGCTTTTCCGGGTACATGTGGGCCTCAAGGGACCGCACCTAGGGGTGGAGCAGCAGCATTCACCCCTGCTGAAAGCCCTAACCCAGGGTGTACCCCCCTCAGGGTAGAGACCAAAGTCCCCACCATGGCCCGAGGCCTCATCTCACCTCCCACCAAGGCCTCGGACATGCTCCTTCCTTCCTATCTGCCCCTAGGCCTTTGTCTTTGCTGTTCCCTCTGCCTGGAGCACCCTTGTCCCCCTTTACCTGGTTAACTTCAGGACTTGACCTCCCACTTCCATGGAGAAACCATGGGGCACCCCTGAGAAACCAAGGCAAATAACCCTGGTGCCACACAGCTGCATTTTTACCTGTAAGATCCTTTGATCTCCCCTCACCCCTAAGCAGACAGTGACCCCCGAGGTTAGGGACCTGTCCAGGTTGCCCCTCACTCCTAGGCCTGGCAAGGAGCATGCGCTCCTGTAGATACCGCAAAACCCAAGGACAGCAGAAAGAGCGGACCCAACCCCTGCTCCTCGCCAGCTGCAGCCCGCGCGGCCCGGCAGGGGGCGCCGCCTCACCTGCTCCTCCAGCATCATCCGCACCGAGCGCTCCTTGTCCAGCTGCTGCCGCAGCTCGATCATCTCCCGCCGCAGGTCCTCCGCCTTCTCGTCCTCCCAGATGTCCGGCGAGCCGATGCCTTCGTCCTTGTCCTCCGCCCGCCGTCGCTTGGGGGACGAGCCGCTCAGCTCCTGGGGACCCCAAGGGGTCGGTGAGTGTGCCCGACACCCCACACATCCACCAGCACCCCCATGGAGATCAAGGGGCCCATTGCAGCCCCCCAGAGCTAACCGACACAGGCGGATCCTCACTAGGGAGTCCATCTGCAAATCCAATAAACCGGCTAAACGCCAGGAAGGGAAGCTGATGGACATGCTTGCTGGAACAGTCACCTGGTTCCTTCCAGAGCCCACTCCGCCACACTAGACTAGTGGGGAAACTGAGGCTCAGGCAGAAAGACAAGCGCCTGAGGTAAGCGAGTCAGTGGGCAAGGTGGGACCTGCAGGCACTCATGAGTCCCAGGCCAGTGGCTGGATCCTGGGTATGCCTGTGCCAGAGGGAGCCGGGATGAGGGCAGGGCACGGAGGTGAGGGTGGCCTCCTCTGGGGTACCTGGATGAAGCGCTTGAGCTGTGTGTTCTGCTGCAGCAGCCTGGTCTTCTCCTGCTCCAGGGAGAAGATGTACTCCGCTGTCTGCTGGAGAATGGCTGCCTGAGGGTGAGAGGAACAGAAAGTGAAGCTGGCCGTGTTTGCCAGAGCTCCCTCCCTTCTCCCCTCTCAAGCCACCTCCTCCAGGAAGCCTTCTGGCGCTGGCCTACCTTGCTGAGCTTCTCTCCATCTGTGTGGGGGATGAGGGTCTTGAGGGACTGGAAGCCAGCGTTGATGCTCTGCATACGCCTCCGCTCGTTGCTGTTGGCAATCTCCCGCCGAATCCGCCGCTCCTGGTCCCGCTGAGTCTCAGGGGTCAGTGGAATGTTGGCAAGGCTGCCAGGAGGGACAGGGACAGGTTCAAACTAGGAACCCTCTGTGCCCTGCACCCAATGGGCCCTGTCTTTATAATTCATCTCCAGAGGACCCCAAGTGTAACCTGCATCCTTCCCTCCCCGCCCCCACTGCCTAATGCCTGTACCCAAATAGATCACCCCCAGAGGGTGATGGAGGGGCCCCCTCCTGGGACATCCAGGCAGATTGAAACAGCTGGCAGCAGGTAGAGACAGCCGACTCAGAATCTAGCCCCTCCCTGGCTTGTTTCACGGGAAGAGGGCTCTCCAGCACAGAGGTTCCCCGAGTTGCGTGGCTGCCAAAAACACCTGGGTGCCAGCCCGCATCTGGCTAGCAGGTCTGCACAGAGCCCAGAAACCTGCGTGGCTAATTCCTGGATTCTGATGCAGGTGGGCCCCAGACAACAATCTCCTGGGACACCTGTTCCTGGGACACCTCTGAGCTCCTAGCTGTTCAGCTGCACCACCTCCTTCAGCATGCCAGGCTTTGCCATCCCAGCACCGAGGAAGAGGTGCCCCCTCCCCTTCCCATCCCCACAGCCGTGTCTCCAGCCACAAGCCCTCCTAGGCTAAGACTTCACAGAGAAAAGACAGGTACTACTCACTCCCCAAAGAGGACACCAGGCTAACAAGCCCTGGGGACAGTTCTGCTGCAAGCCCACCCACTCCAAGAGGCAAACCTCCCTGTGCCAGAGAAGTGGTTCCCAGCATGCTGTGGGCAGCGTTACTGCCTGCAGTGGGGGCAGCGACCAGTGGGGTGGGAGAAGGCAGCCGAGGGAGGGGCCAGGCTGCAGGCTGGGGGGCGGTGGTGGGAGGCAGAGCCTGTGGGCCCAAGGCCACTGCTCCCCAGGGGTGGGCCTGTGTGTGGCCTGGAGGAGGCATGTCCCCCTCCCTGGCCCTCCCCAGCAACACCCCCACCCGTGGCCTGATGGCTTCCAGATGCTGGGCTCCCAACAGAGGCCGCAGGCCCCACCCAAAGCCACAGCCCCGGCGTCTTCCTGAGGGGGCCCTCCCGGGGTGACCTGTTCCAGGCCTGGGCCAGGAAGCTTGTGCCCCTGAATCTGGGAGAACAGGGAATGGACTCTGCACCACTCCTGTTCCACTGATGGGGGGTCTGCAGTCAAGGAGGTGCCTAGTCTCACTCCCCTGCTGTGACTGGCCCCTACAGTCCCCAGGCGGAAAGGAATCCGCCTGGAAACGCAGAAGGGAGCACATCTGCAACAGCTGGAAACAGCCGAGGCCTTTCCTGAACCCACCCAGCCTGCCCCATCTGTCCTGCCTGGGTTCCCTGTGGGACCCAGGATGCATCCCTGGCCCTTCCTCTCCCAGTAGAGAGGGTGGGCCACTGGGGGCAGCAGGCAAATCAGCCCCCTCCCCACCAAGACCCAAACCACCCAGGTGCAGGTCCCCTCACAGGGCCTTAAAACGTCAGTGCTGGAAAAGGGACCCAGGTCCCCCACTTTACAGAGGGGACATAGGAAGTGGGGAGGGGCATGGTTTTAGGGTCAGATAGCTGCAGGTCAGCTCCCCCACTGCAGGGCCAGGTACATCACCTCTCCCAGTTTCCGGCCCCCACAGTGGCAGGTAATAGGGGGCCTGGTGCACAGCTGCAGTCTGCCCTTGGTGGGGGGGTCCAGGCTCCCAGGTGTGGCACCCCTCTGAGGCCAAAGGGCCCCCCAGGGACAGGGACTGCTCTGCAGGGGGTGGGTTAAAGCTGAGGGTCTTTAGGAGGATGAGGAGATGGGGAGAGATGGACAGGGGAAGCCATGACACCCGGCAACTGCCACCTGTCTGGGAGCATCCCCACCCCCTCAGGAGAGACATGAGGAAAGACCCCTGCTCACCTGGCCTCTGGGTTCCTCCTGGTGAGGCCCAAAGGCCAGAGCTGATCAGGGGCTGGAGGTGAAAATGACCCCCAAGTCCAGCCTTGGGCTATCTGAGAGCTGGCCCACCCAGAGTGCCCAGCAACAGGGTAACAGTTAACAACACAAAATCTTCACATAATATACTAGACATGCACAGTGCTAGAATTTTCTCATTGAATGTCACAGTTGTCCTATAAGTCAGGTGACCTGATGATTCCCATGTAGAAGGGAGGACACATAGGCTCAGGAAGGGCCCAGCTACAGCAAGTGGTAGAGTCAGGACTTGAACTTTGACCCCAAAGCAGGTGTCAGGCCACAGGGCAGAACAGGCTCTGACTGTCCCGAAGAGCAGGACATCCTAACCAGCAGGTGACAAGTTTTCCCTGAAGAAGAGGCTCAGGCACTTGGAAGCACTGTCCTCTTTACTCTTATTCACAGACGTCTTTTACACTTTTCCCTGTCTGATTCCCACGGAAACCCGCTGGGGTGGCCGCAGCATCCTCATGTAGCAGTGAGCGATGCAGGGTCCTGGGAGGGGAAATGAAGGGCCCAAGGTCAGGCAGCCAGGCCACCACGAGGCAGGCACTGCAGACCCAAAGCTCCAGCCCCTCCTGCTGCCAGCTCACATAGACAGAAGGGGGGTGTGGCTGCATGGGCAACCTACCCCTGCTCCTTCCCCTCTGAATGCATGGGAAGGACCAGGCCCACAAGGGAGGTGACTTGCCCAAAGGCACACCTGGCAGAAGGGCAGAGCAGGGTGCAGCTGAATGTACCCTTCTGCACCTTCCAGCCCAAGTCCCACCAACTCATCTGTCCACGACACTTCAGCCTCTCCCTCTCCCCAGGACACCCACTAACCGGGGAAAACAAAGGAGACCACAGGACCCAGCCCTTGAACACCCCAGCCCAGAAGTCCCCAGAAAGAAGAGGCCCTGGGGCCCAGGCAGGGGCCTATGTCAGCTCCTTCTCTGAGCGGACTGAGCTAGGCTGACGCCTGGCTTCTCCCACGTTCCATCTGCCCCTTCCCAGCAGCCCCGTTCCCCGGCTCACAAACCGCTGCTGGTCAACCCAGTGCATAACACCAAAGCTACAGCTCCCTCATGGGGACTTGGAATTGCCACCAAAACCAGCTGACAGAGTTGTGTAACAGAATAATGCATGCTAAACAGAGCTTCTGATTGGTGGAGTGTGAGCGAACCAGGAATTCTTATTGGTAGAATGCTGACCAACCAAGGATTCTGATTGCTGACCAACCAGGGGTTCCCAGTGAAGAAGGATGGTTAATTGGAATTTCCAGGTGACACCTGCACCGGATAAAGTGGATTTTCCTGCAAATGCCTGAAAGTTCCTTACAGCTCTTTCTGGATTTTGCAGACGGAAATTCGATTTACAGCAAGTAGCCACACAGTAAAAGTGCCACTAACCCCCTGAGAGTGAAGGTGGCCCGAGTCCACTGACAGGGAGGATCTCTTGCTTCTCGCCCTCCCAGGCTGCCCCTCCAGCAGCCAGTCTCCTGGGGGTAACAGGGCCTGCCCAGGCCTCAGAAAGAAGGCAGGGCACTGGGCAGCCCATGATCAAGGAACAAAATTTGCGCATCAGCCCTAGGTGCCAAGACCAGCGCTGCTCCTCCCACTACAGTACTCACAGAAACCTGCGGGGAATGCCGTGGCAACCCAGCTTGCTTGGGGGCAGGGAGAGCGATTTTCAAGTCCAGATCTCCGACTGGTACCTGTCCCTCCTGCCCAGCCCAAGGCCAAGTACCCCCCATCCCTCTTCACACCCCTGCCTGGCTCCAGCCTCAAACCGGCCCCTGAGAACTCTCACTGCACGGTGCCCTGACATCACTCGCACCGCCCAGAGTCACTCAGTCAGAAGTAGAGAAGTCCACACAGGATTCCTCCCACACCCGAAAGGGAACGGAGGCAGAAAGACGACCCTCCTGCCAAGGGTGCCCAAGGCGCTCTTCCTTCTCTCACTCCACCTGTCTGAGGCCCTTGGCCGCCCTCCATTCCCACTGCTGCCCCTGTATCCAAACTCTCCCGTCCCTCCCCTCCTCCAGCCCATCAGAGAACCCTGCCCTGGGTTCTAGTGCAAACTCCAGCCTTGCCACTCACTGGCTGTGGAGCACCAAGCCTAGCCCCTTCATCTCTCGAAGCCTCAGTTTCCCCAGCTGTAAAATGAGGAAATACTGCTTCATTCCACATGGATAAAAGAGATCGAGAAAATGAGAGTGGGGATAACAGGATGGCGTTTCTCCAGGGTTACAGTCCAGGACAGCCCGTGAATCTCTTAGGGGGCCTACAAGACCCTTTAAGGCCACAAGTCTGTGAGCTACCCAAGGACAGGAGTCAGGTCCTGCTCATTGCTGTGTCCTTCATCCCCGCAGAAAGCTGATGCTTCATAAATACAGGATCAGGGACCCAATGAACACTCCAAGGCCCTTAATTTTCTTTGACTCTTTATGGGAGCTCTTTTTAAAGATAAGGATACAAGGATAGAGACTACTGTGCACCTGCTTTTAAGAATCTGAATGTCAGCCCAGGCACGGTGGCTCGTGCCTATAATCCCCAGCACTCTGGGAGGCTGAGGCAGGAGGATCTCTTGAGTTCAAGACCAGCCTGAGCAAGAGTGACACCTGCACCTGTATTCCCAGCTACTGGGGAGACTGAGGCAGGAGCCCCCAAAAATGGGACGTTGGTTTATCATCTCAATATGTTTTTGTTCAGCGTATATAGCATGTCTTTAACCCCTTATGCATATCTGTGGGAGCCAGAGTGACGGGGAGTGAGCAGTAAGCAAAAGTGACGTTGGGGACCCTCACGACACCCTAAGGGATTATGGCTGGTAGGGATGTACATCAACAGGTGTATACAGAGCCCAGGAGTTTGAGGCTGCAGTGAGCTATGATGATGTCACTGCACTCTAGCCCAGGTGACAAAACGAGACTGTCTCAAAAAATAAAAAGAGTCTGAATGTCACTTCAGCTGCTCCCAGGAATGTTCCCTACTCATCCTACTCACAGTTCATCTTCACAGGTGCTGTTTTCCAGAGGCTGAGAACCGTTAGGAGACAGAGACAGGTCCAAAACCCTGCAGCTTGTGCAGGCAGCACTGTGCCCCACAGCCCCCTCTGGTAGGCCCGGGAGATAGAGAGGCAGGGGGATCCCTGCTTGTCACGGAGAGATAGAGCAAAGTCCACCAGCCTGAGATGATCCAGAGAATTGAGTCCATCCAGCCAAAGGGTCCTGCCCAACCCACACATTACTTCCTGGACAGGCCGCCCACCTCACCCCACAGCCCCTGCTGAACATGTACAAACCCAGAGGCCCGGTCCCATGCCAGGGCTCCTCCTCCCTCAATCCCCGCCCAGACTGCACAGCTGACAACTGTCTCTAAGTGGACATCCCCATGCCCAGCTGTGGAGGGAGGTTCTGCCTCTTCCTGCACTCAGCCTACCAAGATACAACTAGGTATCTTGGCACTGCTGGCCTCCTCCAAACAGGGGTCAGGGCAGGGGTTCAAGTTCCAGTCCACCACTTACTTGCTCTAGGTGGTGCCTTCCCCAGTCTGTGTCCTCATCTTTACACGGGAATCATAAGGCACCTTGACTCACAGAAAGATGACAATTCAATGAGAAAATTCCAGCAAAGTGTGTCCCAGAACATATAAAGAGCTCAAGATTGTTTGTTATTAGTTATTCCTGCTGAGCCCTTCAAGTGGTCCCTGTGGAAGGGCCAGCCCTCAGGGTGGCCCTGCTGGGGGCCAGACGGACCCATCAATTGGCCCATCCATCCCAAGGAATTGACTGTGAAATTGAGAGTAGCGTTAAGGTGGAGCCCTGGGGCGGGGGTTGGGAGGGTGCCTATAGGTGTGCAACAACCTCCCCCCCCAGGCCAGTTTCTGCAGCCCCTGGTGTCCACCAGCTGGAGCCACACCGCGCGGGCTCCGCCTCCCTCAATCCCCGCCCAGACTGCCTCAGGAAGCGGAGCACGTGGCTCCAGCCCTAGGGAGCCATTTCACTCCAAGAGCAGCGCGGCAGGAAAGGGGCCGCTGGTCCCAAACTTGCGCACGCGGGAGAACCCACACCTCCCCCTCACCCCGGCCGGCGGGTGGTGCTCGATATGCAGATGTCCAGGCCCTAGCGATCAGAGTTCCAGGCATGTGCATTTTAACAACTGTCCCGGGTGATCTGGCTGCGTGTGGTCCGCGAACCTATCACCCTTTGGCAACGGTGGATTTTGAGCAACCCAGGGCCAAGCTTGCTTGTGGCTCCTGGGGAGGACTGCGGACCTCCGGCCACCCACCCGTCAGGCAGACCCAGCGCTTTCGGTTTATGGCTGGGGGGAGGGGCGTCGAATGGGAAAGTTTGCAGCGGAGACGCACGTGCGACAGGAAGCGGCCCCGCGAGGCTAGGGGCGGCCTCAGGTGTCCCCTCCCCAAAAGGCCTCCCCACCTGGCCTGTCTTGCCTCTCCTGCTCGGGGGACCGAGCTTTGTGCCGGGGAAGCGTGGCCCAGGAGCGCCTACAAGTCCCACAATGCCGCTGCCGCGGGGCACTGAGAACTACAGCTCCCGCGAGGCCGCGCGCGCAGAGGTCCGCCTACTCCAAGAGGGCTGCAGAGTCACGTCCAGGCCTCTCTAGTAAACAGCGCCCGGGCGCTGGCGGGCGAGAGGGCGAGCGGCAGCCAACGGGCCGCGGCGCCCCGGCCGGCCGCGCGGGCCCCTGGGGACCCGCCCACCCCCACGTCCACACGCGAGCACGCCCCCCGACCCGCTGCAGCCCAGCTCTCTGCACACACGCACACTACCCGGCTCCCCGCCCCCACCCCCGCGCCGGGAGCCGCGGCATGGCTGCATTGTAGCCATCCTCGCTGGGGGCCCACGCGCACCCAGGACCCCCAGGACCCCTTGGATCGGGGAGCGCAGAGAGTGCGAGGAAGGAGGGAGAGGAAGGAAGCCGCCGAGGGAGGGGGGAAGAGGAAGCGCGGGGGAAGGCCACCAGCACCAAGCATGGCCGGGACTGCTGCAGAACCACGTGGGTCTGTTTGCAATTTACAAACGTCGCGACTCGCCCGCCTGCAGCGGACAAAAGTGGCCGGGGCCGCTCGGGGCCCCCACGTTCCAAAGGAGGAGGGTTCCCGGGCGGCGCGAACCCGGCACGCGGGGCTGCAGCCGCCCGGACGGCTAAGAAAGGCGAGCGGGGTCGGAGGCGCGGGCCATGCGTGCGCACACGCGCGCTCGCCCGGGCGGGCTAGCCGGGGGCTGCAATGGTAGGAAGGGGTTGGGGGGAAGGAGGAGTACACACCTACAGAGCCCTCCTATCACTTCTTTCTCTGTTTTCCTGAAATGTTGCAAAGAGGGCACCTTCTGAGTGGGCACCATGAAATACTCCATAGCGATCGGCCCCCCTCCTCTGCACGAGCCGGGTCCCGCGATCCGCCAGAGAATGCAAGATGGAAATCCGAATCAAAGGGCAGCGCCGGACGGAGGTGCAGAATCGGCCGGTCCCAGATGCTGGCGGCGGCGGCGGCAGCGGCGAGGGGAGGGAGGCGGGCGGGAGGGGCGGGAGGGAGGTCTCTCCGGCCTGCCTCCCCGGGCGTGTGTATGTGTGTGTGTGTTTGCAGCTGATCAGATGTCTGTTTCAAGGCGGGAAACAGCTGGTGAAAACTCAGCACTCCCTGGGCCTCCTTCCGCGGAGTAAGGAATTGCATGTAAACAAAGGACTATTTGCAGCGCCCCCCGGGCGGCGCGAGGACGGGGCGAGAGGGGCACGGGACCCCAGGGGCCGTCTGCAGCCGGGGTCTGCAGGCCTCTGGCCGGGCGCTGGGGGTCGGGGGCCGCGGGCCGGCCGGCCGGGGCTGGGGGTGGGGGGGGGACGCGGCGTGAATGGAGCGAGCTGCGGCTGAGCTACATGCGCCACTATGGGTGATGAGGTCCATCAGCTGACAGGTTGGCAAGCGTTGCAAAAAAAAAAAAAAAAAAAAGGCCAGCCACGGCGCGGGGAGCCCAGCCTGTGCAGCCCGGGTCTAGAAGGGACTGCTCGGTGCAGGGTCTGCGCGCTCAGCGGCCCGGGGGTAGGAGGGGGCGCAGCTGGGCGGGCGCGCAGCGGCAGCGAAGGCGGCCTGGGGTGCGCGCGTGGGGCTTTGCCTTTTCACCATTGCAACTGCACGGAGCGGAGCCCCTGGCGCGCTCCCTCCGGGCCGAGTACTGGGCCCCCTGGAAACTTGCGTCACAGCCACCGCTTCCCACATGTAACTCGGGGCTGACTTCCGAGGCCGGCCAGCCTCCTTCCTCCCTCCCTGCCTAGCTCCCCGCCGCCGGCTGCCGGGCGCAGGCTCCGGAGCCTGGGAATCCTGGAGCCGGGGAGGAGACCGCAAAGGACGCCGCGGATGCTGAGGCTACCCTGGGAAGCCGGGGGCCCCGGCGGGGAGCGAAGGGTGGAGGCGGGCCAGAACGGCAGCGGCCCTCGGGAGCAGGCTGCCAGCGCTGCCGGGAGGTCTGGCGTTTGCTGCCAGGTCCCCCCCACTTTCCCTCCCCGCGGGCTGAAAGCTGCCGCTGCTCATTCATGACAAAGACGACTCGGGGCTTGCTCCTCCACCGGGGCGCGCTCTCCACGAAGGGGTGAAGACTTGGGGCGGCTTCCGTCCTCCTTCCCCACGCTCCACCTTCCGGCCCCAGGCAGTCCCCTGGCTCCTGGAGGGTTGGCCCCCGGCTCAGGAAGCCCACGCCTGCTTTGGAATGTCCTCGATCCTGCCCACCGCCTTTCCCAATCCCGTCCGCCTTCCAGGTTCCGCCTAAAGCGCGCCTACTGATTGAAATACTCCACTAACAACAATAGTTACTATTATTATTTGGAAATATTATTATTATTAAATATTCCCAGCACCCTGTAGATGCCAGGCAGTTTTGCATACGTTCTCCAATCCTTAAAGCAACCTGTTAGGCAATTTTCTCTAAGTACAGATCTCAGAGCACTTCACACCAAAGTCCCTGGAAGGCTTCCTTCAAAATCGGCACCCTTGAGCCCCACCCTAGGCCTACAGAACCCGCTGGAAGCTGAGGCTTGGGAAGCTTGTATTCAACTCAGCACTTTATCGGCCCATTTTGCAGACCAGAAGGCTCACAAGGATGCACCTAGGAGTGCTGACTCCAGAAAGCACTTGGTCTTTTTTTTCTTTCCTTTGGGTAACAGTTTATTCTCATTTTGGGAAAGCTCTTGGTCTTTATGTCGCACTCACACCCTACCCGGCCCACCTCACTTCGATCAGGACCTTCTTTTCTTTTTTTTTTTTTTTTTTGAGACAGAGTCTCCCTTTGTTGCCCAGGCTAGAGTGAGTGCCGTGGCGTCAGCCTAGCTCACAGCAACCTCAAACTCCTGGGCTCCAGCGATCCTTCTGCCTCAGCCTCCCGAGTAGCTGGGACTACAGGCATGCGCCACCATGCCCGGCTAATTTTTTATATATATATCAATTGGCCAATTAATTTCTTTCTATTTATAGTAGAGACGGGGTCTCGCTCTTGCTCAGGCTGGTTTTGAACTCCTGACCTTGAGCAATCCGCCCGCCTCGGCCTCCCAAGAGCTAGGATTACAGGCGTGAGCCACAGCGCCCGGCCAGGACCTTATTTTCTACTTGCATTTGCTCTCATGCAGAGCAGAGCATTCTGTCACACTTGGTATATGTGGCCATAAAATTGTTCTCTATATGTCTCCCGGTCCCGTTTTGTCCGAATGGGGATTCTGCTTTTGCTCCTTCTGTGTCTTCACAGGGCTGGACACACATCTGAACCCCAGGGAGTGATTCAGCCAAGCTGATGTCCCTGGAGACAGCCTTTGCAGAGAGGGTGAGAGGCACAAGTGGGTGTCCCAGGGAGACTTGGGAGCCTCCTGCCCACTCAGAGCTGGGTAGTGGGTAGCAGCCCACTCTGCTGATGAATCAAGGAAGCCTCCCCAAGGCATTTAGGGTGGTGCCTGGAGGGAGGGGGGCAGAATGCTGCTCTTTTGTTTCTCTTGGAAGGCATTTCCAGGGCCACACAGACCCTGATTCCTGGGGCAAGTGAGCTGAGATCACAAAATTTAAGGGAGCTCCAAAACAACTCAACCCTCAAGATAAATTATATATTAATTTAACGTTTTTTTTTTTTTTTTTGAGACAGAGTCTCGCTTTGTTGCCCAGGCTAGAGTGAGTGCCGTGGCGTCAGCCTAGCTCACTGCAACCTCAAACTCCTGGGCTCAAGCAATCCTTCTGCATCAGCCTCCCGAGTAGCTGGGACTACAGGCATGCGCCACCATGCCCGGCTAATTTTTTCTCTATATATATTAGTTGGCCAATTAATTTCTTTCTATTTATAGTAGAGATGGGGTCTTGCTCTTGCTCAGACTGGTTTCGAACTCCTGATCTCGAGCACTCTGCCCACCTGGGCCTCCCACAGTGCTAGGATTACAGGTGTGAGCCACAGCGCCCGGGCTAATTTAACATTTTTAAAAATCAAAATTACTGCCAAGAACCCATGATGAACAAAATATACACATTGTAATGACAGGCTCGGTATGACTGATTTTTCCCTTTCCCTCAGGCTTCACCCGGCTTGGCACAGCACTGGCCTTTCTTTAAAATTATGATATCTTGTTCACCATAAATTTTTGGCACTTTGATTTTTTTAAAATATTGCATTAAAATATTTATCTTGATTGCTGAGGGTTTGGTGCCCCCGTAAGTTTTGTCCCCCAAGCAAGTGCGTCAATGGTCTCACCCTAGCCCTGCCTTCCTGTGGGTCCCCCACCTACTGAGGGGCTCCCTGTGACCCAGGGCAGGAGGCAGCAGAATCAGGGCTGCCCACCAGCCTTCCCAGAACCCCTCCGTCCCCGGGGAATGTGGGCATTAAGGAAATGGGGAAACTTTTACCCCAAAGCAGAAATGCTGCCCTCAAGGAGCTCCCAGTCACGCTGGTGACACAGAACATGCCGAGGAAAGGATGACGTTTTGGAAAGAACATATGATACAGGGCCACATAACTGTATACACCAAGTGAATTCTCCACTGCCTGAATGAATGAATGACGGCTGAAAGAAGCACGTCTGCCCCTTACTCCTCTCCTACGGAACTGCCTTGACAGCACCTGATTCCCAGTGAGCAGGCGGTCACTCAGACTGGCCTCGCCAGTTCTACCAACGACCCCTTCTCATTGCTGTGCCCAGCCCAGCGTTCTCGGGCATCTCAGATGTACAGACCCAGTCCATTCCTTCCTCAAGGCCTGAAATACCGTCACCACCGCCCCCTTGCCCATCCCAATTCTGCCCCTTCACTGACCCCTCTCTCTGGCAGTAATGCCAGGATTCCCCAAATTCTGTCCCTATGAGGCTCTGTACATTCCTTCCCAACTGCCCAAAGCCCTGTGCCCTATGGAGCCCTCAGAGGGTGGTTGGCAAAGGCTATTAGATCCTCAGCCTCTTCTCTGACTTGCCCCTTCACCTTCTTGCTCTAAATTAAGGGTCAGCAAGTTACCCAGGAAAGGGCTGGGTAGTGAGTATTTCTGGCTTTGCAGGCCATGCAGCTGCTTGTCAGTGCTGAACTCGGCCCTTAGAGCTCCGAAGCAGCCCTGCCTGAGGGGAATGAACGGGCATCTCTGCGTACCCGTCACACTTATGGACACACATGGAATTTCATATAATTCATGTGTCATAAAATATCACTCACTGAATTTTTTTCAACCCTTGAAAAAATGTAGAAGTCCTATGGCTACTGTAACAAGTTACCACAAATTTAGTGGCTTATTTTTCTTTGATTTTTTTTTACTTTTTATTCTCTTTTTTAATTTTTCTTAAACTTTTTTCTTTCAACCAAACACTGTCTACGGATTTTTATTATTTATTTTTCTTAACTTAGTGGCTTAAAACAGCACAAGTTTATTCTCTGGAGGTCAGAAGTTCAAATGGGTTATCTTTGGCTAAAATCAGGGTGTCTGCAGGGCTGCATTTCTCCCGAAAGCTCTAGGGGGGGATCTGTTTCCTTGCCTTTTCCAGCTTCTAGAGGCCACCCACATTCCTTGGCTTGTGGCCCCTCTTCGAGGCCTCTAACCTCTGCTCTGTCATCACATCTGTCACCCTTTCGTTTCCCTTTTATAATGACCTTGGGCCGACCTAATTAACCCAGAACAATTTCTCCATGTCAAAACCATTAACTTAATCATGAATCACATCTGCAAAGTCCCCTTTGCCAGGTGGGGTAATTTATCCACAGGTTCCGGGGGCTGAGGCATGAACATCTTGGGGGGCCATTATTCTCTCTCCCACACCACTCTTAGTCTGTGGGTCACACAGAGACAGTAGTAATTACATGCCCCGGCAATCCCACTCCTAGGTAGACATCCAAAAGCTGCAAATGTGGACTCAAACAGATCATCGTACACCCACATTCATAGCAGCATTCTTCACGATAGCCACAGGGTAGAAACAACCCCAGTGTCCATCATGGATGGACGGATAAACAAAATGTGGCCCGGCCACACAGTGGAATATTATGCAGCCATTAAAAGCAATGGAGCATTGATAACACACCACAACATGGGTGAACCTTGGAAACATGATGCTCAGAGACAGAAGCCAGACACAAAAGGTCACATGTTATATAATATCACTTATATGAAGTATCCGGAATAAGTGAAGTCACTGAGACAGAAAGTAGATTAGAGATTTCCAGGGGCTGGGGGAAGGAGAATAGAGACATTGATTATGGGATACAAAGTTTCTGTCTGGGGTAATAAAAAAATTTGGAAATAGATAGTACTGATAGGTATACAACACAGTGACTGTAATGAATGCCACTGCACACTTTAAAAGGGTTAAAATTGCAAATTTTGTTATATATACAACCACAATAAAAAAGCACAAGGTTAAAAAAAAAAAAGCAACTGGCTAGGTTTGCCCAGTGGGCCGAAGTCTGCAGATGCCATCGATGCTACCTGCCCCACACTCTGACCCTGTGAAATCTCTCCTGCCTGCTCTATCTCTGGTCCTACCCACAAGAGCTGAGTGTGGCTGGGAAAAGGAAATCCCACAACCTTGCTCACTGGTCTTATTTTTTATTTTTAAATTTTTCTTAGTTAGCAAGACTTGTGTTGGGGTGTTGTCAAAGTTGCCTGCTCAGTTCTGGTCTTATTTTTAAATGCCCGACCAGGATCCTTGAGTGGGCCCTGCTGTTGCTGTGACCCCATCGTGCTACCTGGCCCCTTCCTCCTCCTCTCTCCTCGCCCTCCAGCACCTCCCCCTGCTCCCTCTCAGCTCTTGGCCTTACTTCCCGTTTCTCTGAGGAAAATGGAAGCAACTAGAAGAGAACTCCCACATGCTCCCATCAGCACCTCCTCCTCCCTCCCTGCACCTGCCACAGGCCTGTGTCCCTGCCTGTCCCTGCAAGGAGGACCCCTCCCCTTGTACTGCTCAAAGGTTTCACTCCAGAAACCTTCTCCTCCCGTGTCTTCAATGTGGCCTTCTTTTGTATCATACCAGTTACTACAAACGAGTTGTCGCTGGTCCCCTTTCAAACCCGCCACCCAGCCCACAACCCTATATCCGCTTCCAGCTACACTCTTCCTCTGGTCTCCTCTGAAGCCAAACTCCTGCAAGTGGACGCTCAGACTCACTCTCCGCCCTCCCTCCTGCTCACTCCATCCAGCCCCCACAGTGCCACCAAAACTGTTCTTCCCAAAGTCACCAGGGACCTCCAAGGTGCTACATCCAGGGCTCTTTTTTCTGTCTTCACCATATCTAACCTTCTTGAAATTCTTTTTGTTTGGCATCTGGGACATCCCCAGGTCACAGTCGCTGGACCTGGTCTCTGTCTACACACACTCCCTGCTTTCCAGACAACAGAATTCCAGAAAGCTCTAGAAGCCACCAAGTATGGTACAGAATCTAGGAATCCAGGCTCTGCCTGATCCCCAGCTCTGCTATTCTCTGAGTAACTGCAGGCTGGTTCCTTAACCTGACTCTGCTTTCTCCTCTGTAAACAGAGGCCCCATGGCATCTCGCTGGCAGGGCTGTTGTGAAAAGCTGGTGGCAGCTTGGCATGTTGCAGCATCAGTAAGTGTTAGTTGCTATTATCACTGGCACCGGGTTGCAATGGGCAGCGGTCAGAGGTGTCTGAGCTGACCTTGGAGAGCAACAGGGTTTGATGATGCACGGGGAGAGCCAGAGGAAGACCC